TAGGTGGCCCCCCCCCCAACTACATTTTCACCGGTTTATTTTAAGGGGTATGGGTGAGAAAATTTTTCTTCCTGCAAATGAAAACTCATCTTGATTCCCTATACATTTCCCTATGAGAAGTTAAGTTTTATAGATCAGAAATCAGTATGGGAAACTCTAACAAATGAAGGTTCCCTGGAGGTCGCCCTCAAAAAGGTTAAGTTGTGAGTAAGGAATGTAAGGAGACGGTACCCATATGGAAAGCATAATAATGGAGATTTGGATGGAATTTCATAGCCAAGTTCTAATTCAAAACTATACCAATGTAGGAAGTGCCAATGAAGACGAATGAACAGTACTCTTTATGACAGATCTAATTAAGGCGTTTGTTCCAATAGAAACGCTTAATCATTCATGTTCATCAGAATTAATTACCATTCAGTCACAGGACGATGGTACAGCAATGTACAACATGCCTACAGGGTGACTAAGGACTGAAGCTGGCATTTCAGACAAATTCCTGTGGAAATTGATGGGAAACTGAATGATGGACTGGCTGACGATCATCATTTTTTCGCTGTCAAAGAGCTATCAGTTCATTAAAATTTTATATTTGAAATCCTCATTCCTTCCAGAAAATAAACATGCTGAGACATCGAGGAATTCACATCCCTCACAAGAACTTCGTCGTTCCCAGGGTCGGAGCCCTGTAGGTTTGCGGAAAAGTGTGGTGAAATAGTACCGGATGGCACTTCATCACATGCGTGGTACTGAGGGCGAATTGCGCTTCGATATCCATCAGGGTCAGCCAAGCCATCTCCAGACGGACGGCTGGCCACTAAAGTCATAGTTTAGATCATATACTCATTTAATTATAAAACGCCTTCACGATTCCGAATGAAAAATGAATTCGCTTCCTAGAAAGTAATCAGTCAACACCAAAGGATCTTATCCTTTACCATTCCGACCTCAAGAAAAAGGTAGTCAATTTCCTTGGGACGTTTATCAGCTCTTTGGGACACCTGTAATACGTTCACTCTTCTATATTCCGCAATGGAAAGATGTCGTCTACCCAAACGAAAAGGGAGTACATCCGCTTTACAGGTTGTTTTTCAAATTGGTGGTAGGAAGGGTAGATGTTAGGACATACATTTTGGGTGCTTCCGACCCCTACCGATATTTTGAGATCTGAAACTCCAAAGCACTCTTAGCAGAGAAAACTTATTCCCAAGCATCCAAGAAAAAGGGTTTCCAGAGTAGTCCAAATTTGTGCATAATGTACAGTACACTCCCAAAGGTTATGACTATGTAGAGAGGGACGTTTAGTGCGATTCTGGGTGCGCGCGGCGAAATTTGCGATGATTCAAACAACCCTGGCGTCTATCATTGGAGCTCAAACTTGAACTAGAGTACTTTAATATGGTCAGACAATCCTTCTAACCTACTTTACTTCAAATTTGGGCTCCAATGGTGAACGCTGCAGTCGTCCAAAACTCACCGAATTTCGCCGCCAATTTGCCGCGCGCTCCCAGTATCGCACGAATCGCAACACACCCCTATGTAGAAGTGAGTGAGTAGAAGTCTCCCATGTCTCTACCACCGCTTAGGTGTCTACGGTGGTTCCACCTTTTTTTTTGTCAATGTTAGTAGTTTCCCTCCTATGGAGCTAGCTCTTCCTTGTGAATTAAAAATAGTTGTTATAAAAGATAACAAGTATGCGTTCGACTTAGAATTATCTGATATATGAGTTTTGAGTAACATCAGGCCATGTTCCTTACACTCACTGAGGTGCCTCAAAAAGGACATCAAAAATGTTCTAATCATGCTAGGACCAGTGGATATAGACTGTGGACCAAGTCGAAGCACTTCCATCCTTTTCTGGACATGGATCGGTCTATGACCACTAAAAGCCGTTTCTTACGGTAATCACGAATTAAGTTCAAGGAAACAGACTACACAACTCACACTATAGAATTCGAAAAAACATTTATTTATCAATGAGGCACTCAACTAACAATATATTCTCTTCCTTCATCCAAGAATTGAAGTTCCAAATTGATTGCACCAACGTCCATCGTGGTTTTTGGTTGCTTCGCATAGGTAATATATTTTCCTGGTAATCGAAATGTCACTTTACGGCTACCCGGCTGAAAATGGTCAGAATATATGGTACGATTGAAAAAATAATGGAAATAGCCACTTTTTTTACCCTTGTTGTGTAACAGTATATGGAAAATCAACTAGATCAACTCTGAATGCTCCAGTCTTTGAAACAGAAATAGTGGAACTGTGGTGATGAATACCTTCGGTACATTTGCTATTCCAGTAACATCGTTACAGTCATGATAGATTCGGAGGATCGGGTCGATGTCGGTAGTTTCAGCTGTGCCACCCGAAAGTGAGAAATCGCCATTAGTGTCGGTATATCCTTGATCGAGCATGTCATCAGGTCGACCTTAAAGGTTAAATATGAAAAGTTACAAAGTAGAATTAGATATTTAAAATACTGAACCAGTACAATGGTGCATGCTACACATATACCTGTGATTATTTGAAGGAGGATGATCGAAAATAGAGAGCGGAGAGGTTATAAAACGAAAGGTGGTACTCATCACTACCCATGACTCCGGGGGGAGAATCACGATCAACACCGGCCCACCCCAACCATACCTTCCATACCTCTAGGGTCATTCAATTGCTGTCAAACTCGTCTGGGAGGATAAAAGCACAGCCATGTACATCGGTCAGCCACAGCAAGTCATTGGGAGACGGGCGTTAGGAACGATTTTGGGTAATCGATTCGCCGCACGCGGTTGTCGCGGGCCACTCATTCGCCGTTATTTCAGCTCTAGCGTTCTTCATACAGCTCAATCGATATGCGATCATCATTTTATGCATAATTCTACTATTAGTACTTTTGTTCTTGTATTTCTTACCTACTGCTGCATCCTGCAACATTCCTTCGCCCGCGACGCCCATCTCACCGTGACGCGACCGTTTCGTTCCTAATGCACCACATCCCAAGACATTGCCTAGGCCCCATACGCATTCAAACCGACACCCGATTCAGAGTGGAAGTCGAATGCAAGAGCGATCCCAAAAACCGGATTTTTAGAATGCAATCCGATTCGTACTTAGGTCCGGTTGCATAGACCATTTTCCTTCCTGTAAAGGACAAGCCCTATTTTCCCTGGCGATAAGTAAGAACTTACCGGTATCGGTATCGATGAGCTTTACTCTGACGTTTTTAGCTGGTCCACTTCCACAGAGCAATCGTCCTTTAACGGCGATCGACTGATCGCGCACAGCTTCACAAACTGCCAACACAACAACAGCGTATACCACACGATACATCCTGAAAAGTGCTTCGGAAGACATTTCCATTGCAGATTTATATAAATGGCTACACGGTGATATCAATCACACCAAGGATTTAGCATGAAGCACTCAAACGAGGAGGCTGAATGTATTACCCAGGCATACGGTTCAGAGAAACGCCCAAACACAAATGGGAGGATGGGTGTATCAGTTGAAGAGACAGTGAAAGCATTGTCCTACATGGCTTCTAAGGGAACTTATACGCCCACTGAAGTGGCGACGGAGCCAGCTTCTTGCCGAATCACACGANCCCGAAATGACTCACGATTGCCAAAATGATATGTCGCCTACTACATATAAAACAGGGAACGATCAATTGCAGAATTTCGTCCGATAAAGAGATAAACAAACAAACAAGCAACAAGCATCACAGGCAAAGTTGTCCATATGAAGATTAGAGGGATTTTAACGCCCGGTCAATGTGTGACACCGTAACCACCTAAGCCGATTGCTTTCAGGATTGCTTTCAGCAAAGGTAAGTACAGATTACTTCTTTATAACAAAACAATCTAGTTTATCATCAAATATTCGAATCGAATCGCGCTCCAATGTAACGTAATGTAATGTAAGTTCCCCTCATAGCTCCTCAGGTACTTTGCATACAAACCACTTACTGGACCACGGCTCAAATTTCGTGTCACCGTCGAAATTCCTTTCAAAACATTTGGAAGGGCTAAAAAATTCAAAAGCATAGAAAAAATCTCGTCAAAAAGGCATCCATGTTGAAGTTAGATACTGGGGATGATGATACAGAAGAACTTGATTTAGTGGAATGGGAAATCCTTAGAAAGGTCATGGCTTCCTGTAATTCCAAAATAGGCAAGATTATTCAGGGAGTTAATTATTATATGCCACTTTTATTGAGATAGTCGATGTTGTCATGCGATCCTGCGATGACATTTGCACCAGGGCGGTTACTGAACGGATTCCTCGAAGCGTCAAACGAACACAAGGGCGCACGAAGGCTAATGGTCAGACTTCTTCGCGAAAGCTCCGAGAGAAAATAACGATATGCTCCGTGTTCCTCAAGTGAGGGGGATCTACTATACTACATGGCTCGCACAGAAACGAATGGAGACATTACTGGCGCCCGCTCGAGGAAATCGATAATCAACGGGACGGTGAATATACGGCAGAGAACTGTCGGTTATATTAAGCCACGTTGGAGGAAAAATGTCAAAATGAACCTGGGGAAGTACCAGACGTATGTAGTAAGACAAGACTTTCTTTGAGCTGTTCAAGAACGCAACAAGGATGAAGACGCTAGGAAAAGCATTTTGAGGGAGTAATGAGGGATGTTTCTCACCTAATAGGCGTGACCCTATCCGACGGTTAGCCCTATTTAGCCCTATCCGCAAAAGTCAATCGATAGTCGTTTGTGAGGCAATTTATGTTCAGATATTCCGTATAGATCCCATAGAGCCACGGCCAGATCCCATCGGTTCCCGATCGTCCAGTTCAACTAAATAACAACACCCTAGGTACCTGAGGTCCTGATCAATAATTGTAAATAATACTTAACATTGCTAAAAATTACTGTAGGGATTTAGGTCTGTATCAACTAGGGATTGGGCTCTGAATGACCCGGGATTGTGAAACTGCAGGTTTGCCTGAATCATCGGCATGGTAATGATCAACGAATCCATACCGGACTAAAACTGGACCGAACTTCAACAATGCTTCGTCAATTATGAGCTATTATCTATGAGTAATGCTCAGCGTTCAGTAGGTGGTTTGCTCGGCTAGAGGGATCACAGAAGCAAAGAGACGGAAACTGATGAATTTTGGCAGAATTCCAGGGTTACGGTTTGAACGCTTTAGAATGCTGGGAATGAAAGTCAGTTTTTGATCATTCAATTGCTTGAGCCTCTACTATTATTATTATGATCAATTCTAATATCCTTAGCAATATCAGTAGCTTATTTATATATTAAAGCAATTATATTCTGCACGTAATAACAGGACAAGTCGGAGGAGGTGTAGCGGTAAGTGGCGCACTAACACAGACGCATGGTCACGAGTTCAAATCTGGGATCGATATCCGCCTAAGCCAACCAAGCCTTCGAGGTCGGGCAACTGGTACCAGACTCGCCTGGGAAGATAAAAGCAGTGACTTGTACATCAGCTGGCCACCACACGTCATTGTATAGGGTACAAACGTATTCAATACCCACTACGATTCTGGATGAAAGTCCAATGCACGGGCGCATCCCTCATTCGGAATCGATCAACGCCTCATGACTTTATTTTTAATCCTTTTTAATAAGAAAACGTCAAATTCTGGACACTAGACTTCAAGAGAGCATAAAGTGGTAATGTCGTTGATACTGAATACACTCCAGCTATGAAACACAATCTAAACAAATTTTTCCGTGACGCTATAAACTATGAATGCCGCCACAAGTCTATCTAAACCAATTAGGAAAACAGCTATGCCTAAAAAGGGATACGAAGTTGTCTGATAAGCCTTGAAATGCAAAAGTCACGATGGAATGAGATAATGTAACACAGCATACAAAAAATAGGGCCAGGGGGAAGGATTACTCCAGGTTTTTCCGAGCTTCATGTATAAGAAATAAAATGGAAACCGGCTCCCCACGAAAATCTACCCATAAAGAGGAATATTAGTGAAGGAACCTAAAGTCCACGAATGGTTGCACAAAAGGATTGAAGCTCTTTGGACATTCAGTTCTAGTCGCCATCGGGACAGCGATGCCACTGGAAATGGATACGGTAGCTCGAAAGAATGACTGTTTCAATGAAAATGGTTTGAGGACTTGTTGTTTGTTCATATTCACGTGGTTACGTTATAGATTTCAAAACATCGTCGAACAACCGAATCCCTCCATCCCACGGATAATCATACCCCATACCCCACGAGCCATTTGTGCAAAATTACTGGGCCAGACAGGTGTTTTTGAAAAACAAAGCGGAATCCTACGGCCACGAAACGAAGTGAAAATACTGCAATGCAATAACTTACAGTCATCTAAAAAGAAACCTGACAAGCCGGGCCTGAGCATCGTTGGCTTTGCGCATGATGGCGCATGAGTCAGCCCATTAGCTCGACTGTTGATTTTTTGTTGTAATCGTTTCAGTCGATGGTAGATCTTATAGAATTCCACATCCTGGATGCGACCATTAGATTCAGTCATATCCAGTCCAGTTTACCGAAGGGATTCATCTCATTGGGAAGATGATCCCTTTTTTATTTAAGATTCATGATTTCAAGTAGACCTAGACTGATGGTTTCAGGGATACCGATTTCCTGGCTACACAGGCGATATACGACTTTTCAAAAGAATCCAATGGTAGCAACTAATGATAGCAACTGTCAAGCAATATTTTGGCGACAACGGTTGACCATTGTGGGCCTGTTTACAGAGCATTTGCTTCGGAGTCACTTCAAAGTATTGAGTGACACGCGGTGGTAATGGTGGAGTGTGTATGGGAGAGCAATTCAGCCTACCCTGGTACGGAAGAAGAACTGCAAAGGAGAACAACCACATGAATGAACATTACATACAGCTTTCCTCTTCACTTATTGTGCTCGAAAGTTGTCAAATAAATTGTCTAAAAAATCAAATTCCAAGTTCTCTCATCTTGAAACCTCGGCATTGCTGTTGTACTTGAAAATGTTAGTTTTGCTTCTGCCTCGAGGTTGTTCGGTGGAAATCTTTATTTTGGCCAACGTTTCGACGGACTCGTCGTTTTCAAAGGCCTCACTTCCACCGCGAAGTGTAGCACTACGCTACACGGTTAGTACATTAGTAGCGAATGAATGTTGAATGTCTAAGAAATTATCTTACGAAGAGTATTCCAAGCCAATAAAACCCGTATGGACAGCGGCATATTAGGCCATTTGAGATGGCACTAGAGCAAGTTCCAATACCTTCATACCGCTCAGGCAAATATTAAGGTTGTTCGTTTTCAGTCAACCGCTGATAAGAACACGAGGCGATCTCAATATTCAATAGCACTGCGATGTTCTTTGCAGGTAACACGACCAGATCAGCGGCCAACAGACTTCAATCGCTGATGGGGGCATAAGAAGGATTTATGGGTCTCGTTGGACAAGGTATGTCTCAGTTGTTGCTCCTCGGCGTGGCAACATAAGGAAGAGAAAAAGAAACTAGTAAAAGGGCACAAGGGCGGCCGTGTTTAGGAGCAGTACAGGGGAGGCTCAGCTCGAACACTGAGAGACAGTTTGGGTGGGGAGGGATGGTGAGGAGATGGGTCCCGTCGGGAAACAATCATCCCCGACGGAATTGTCGTCCGTCTGATAGTGACAAGGTGGACTACGACCCTTCCGCAACCGAGATAAGGCCCTCAACCAGGGCCAGGTTTAGGCAAACGTTCTGGTTCTGTTATTAGCCCTTCTACTTTGTTTTTGTTGTTTACTCCGTTGCAATTTTGTGTAAACACAGGTCAGATATATGTTTGCTGTTGTGATTTATAAGCATTGACATACAGCGGACCATTAGTCATCAACAATGTAATACATCAACAAAAATATAAACTCATAATCAATTTGAAATCAGTTTTGTACTTTAATACAGTGGAAACTAGTGATTAATACTTGACCGTGGTTGGACCGGTTTTTCAGTTTCTCAGTACTAATCACTAGATTCGTCTTCGGACAACAAAGTGCTCAGTGAGCCTCTTAGTCAACGATGTATTCTCGTCCCTCGGCCATGAATTCGATTTCCAAATTGACCGATCCGATATCCATCGTTTTCCGGGGAACCATTCCATCTGTGATGTATTTGTCTGGCAGCGAGAACTTCACTTTCCGGCTTCCAGGCTGAAATACTTAACCACCATATAAACACTTAACAGTGGACAATAGTGTTCTAGCATTCCATTGAGAGAATGTAGCTTTCGATAGCAGTTTTTACCTTAGGAACGGCGAGGAAACCAGTGACGTCATTGCAATCGTGGTAGATTTTGAGGATAGGATCAATGGGTGTCGTTTCCACAGTCCCACCCTGGAGCTGGAATTCACCGTCAGCATTGGTATAGCCTTGATCAAGGAGGTCGTCTGGATCCGGACCTGAAGTGAACCTGCCTTTGACTTCCGTTTAGAATTGCAATGATGTTTGAATGCCTATGTGGTCTACATAACGAGTTGCGCTTTTCAGGACGAGTCTGTTACCGATTAGTCGACCACGGAGGGATGAAAGAAAGTTGACTTGAGTGGGTGTCGACTCGGGATTCGATCCTTGGACCATGCCTGTACAGTGCCCACTTGCCACTACAGTCTGAGCTTCTCCGAACATTCAATCGTCAATACCCTGGTATCGCTATTCCTCGCAAAACATGGAACCCCTGGTCTGCACCTTGCGAGGGCAATCAGCACAGCCTGTTTTTCACCAGTATAATCTCTGTTTTCTGCAGTTACTTTGAAAAAAAAAGTTCGGCAAGCAATTATATACAGCTCATAGGAATATCGTCAACACAAAAGAAAAACTGTAATGATTCTCAAACTGAACCGGTCTATTTTGGTCATGGATTTTACCTACACTGATTTGACGAATACTCCAGTTTTCGCACAACCCCATCAGACTAGATCGATATCATCATGGATACATTAAAAACCACCTGAATGTAATCCAGTGAGCCGTTCAAAAGGCTAGACCTGGACAGCTGAGTTCAAAATTTAGTTTTGGTTTGGTTAATAGCATATGTATTACATTGTTGTATGGATATCACAATATTTTACACTCTATTACTTCATATTATATTACGTTACAATATATCTTGATAATAGCGTACGAGTGGCGGAATTTGGGTCCAAATTCCCACGGTAGCGCGCGCGACGCAGCAAATCCTTGGTAGCGTCACGCCTCTTCAAGTTGCGACTACCGTAATGATGTCTTAAGGTCTTGCCGCAATTCTTACCATTCACATGTGCAAAATACACTGTGTACATCATGTTCATCATTCGAATCCAACCAAAATATGCATCTAATCAACCATTCAATCTTTGCGTCGGGTGGAATGAGCGCGGCTCGGACACAAATCCACCCACCTCTTTTATGTTTCATCCAAACCAATCTGCTTTGCTCCCATCAACCTCCCTCAAACCACCCTCCCGATGACTCATTTCAAACCCATTTATGATCCCTGTCCCTCGCCGAAAACAGTAACTGTAACTGACCTGAGTCCTCTTCCCATAGCTTCACTCTCACATTCGCTGCCGGTCGTTCACCACACAAGAGTCGACCTTTCACAGCAATTGACTGCTCCCTAACTGCGAGGCATAACAACGGCAACAGCATCAAAGAACACAATAGTCGGGACATTCTGGAAAACAGTTTTTGGGATGATTTCGAGGAGTTTCCGTTTTTGTAGGTGTACTTCGGAGGGGAAGAAGATCTATGAACATTCAGAAGAAAGAACTAAATGTAATGGAAGGTAGATGATGATACTGAAGGATAGAGACTGTTCCAAAGGATAGAATACAGCTAGGATAGAGAGCCAAAAGCATTTTCACTGAAGGCAAGGCGATGATATGAAATTTCCTATCAACAACTCATCCCTTTATATACAAAGATGAAGCCCCGTACACACTACACCCAGCGTACCGCTAGAAACTCTTGGAAAACAGCCAGGAATTCGAAGGGCTATCAAATTACAACGATAAACGACTGACGTTGTTATGGCGGATCGACCAATATATAGGCGATGACGGGTTGATGACGTTATGGGTTCATTTCCCAGACAACATCCTGGTGAGTCATCGGTCGGCAGTGATAAAATGAACGGATAAGTGGCAGCTGTTGAGCATGAGGGATGAGCCGGGATCATGAGAAATAGATCTCCTAGATGAATGAGAAATGAAGATTTCTGTACTGATTCCATACTTTTTACCATTCGTCACCTTGTTTTCTGACAAAAAAACTTACAGAACGGAAAGAGGAGATTTCTGTGCAATAAAAGTGAAGGGCTGGATGAGGCAGGCTGAAATGGGCCTCGATAACAAGCTTCTATCGATAGCGTGCATCAGCTTGCACTAAGAACTAACTGATTAGCTGCCTCAAAAGGCTTATTTACAGATCCGGTAGGCATTGTATATGACAATGGCAGCAGAGAGAATATGGTGGAAAACAGTAATCAATCGGGAGTGTCCACCAAGCCGAGGCGTAATCTGCCGGAAAATGGGTGTTCGAGTACTGATGGATCTTTAAAAACATTTGGTTTAGACAAGGTAAAGCTGGTAGTCGAACAGATTGAATTGACTTTTCCAACTACCAACTCGTTTCCTGTGGAATAAACATCATCATCCAATCAATCAGGTAATTGGTCCCTTTTTAGAGCAAACATGCCTTTCATTCGACTTTCCTTCAAAAACAGAGCAGTTTTAAAGGTACACTGGATCATTACAGGCATTGTTGGTTTTTCCACCCTGTAAGAAGTTATGCCACCTGTGAAGTAGCCTAAAAAAGGGCCGAATGACTCCGTTGGCTACTATTAAAACTGATACTTCGATTAATGGACCAAAGATGGTGGCTACATCGCTTGGCCCACACAACCCTTCATACTTTCTGGGGCAGATAGGTCCTAAAAATATCAAGTCACGATGAAATTCATGACGCTCCACTTCCGGGAGAAGGATTGCACTGGTTACAATAGCTACTTTGCTAGTGAAACCATGTCGAATACCTAAGCACAACGATCGACAGAAATGGGAAGCTGACCAGAAGTTCCAAAATTCGCAAAGCTCTTGCGTGATGGAGTAGCTCTTCAACTATTCTCGTGATACTTTGAAATTTTACTAATTGATGAAATACAAAGGCGAGAGGACTCTGGAAACTCTTCCTGGCAAGCTCCTACTGAATAACCCGAGGTCTCGTTGCACAGAAGTCATGATGAACAAGGTGACCACAGTACAGAGATACGGTGAAGGAAGAAATTCTCTTCGATCAATGGGAAACATCACAAGGGTCATAATTACGGCAGTTTCCTAACATCATCAGCTATCGAATCTGCAACATTGGTCATTGTTGACAGTTGTTGTTGCTGTTGTTGTTGTGTTGTTGCTCATTGATCAGTTAAGTCTGTTATTTTCATACTGCGATGATGATCAGTGATTATAAACGTCGACTAAGCTGTAATCTCTTCGTCACCCGTCGTCTATAAATATCATCACGCTTTTCCAGCTAAATACCCTGACAATGCCTACCGTAGTTCAGGAAGAATTGCCTGTGAGTATCAAAAGAAGATCCAGTTTGCTTTTTCACACATTTCATTGCTGTAACCGAGCTTACCACGAGGAATATCAATCAACAAAACATAGAGTGGAACGAAAGTGGTGGGTATGATTAGATGAAAATAGTGAGATTTATGGCGAGTGGCGTTTTTGACTGAATGTCATCCCCTCACGAGGAATTGAAGAGTTGAATGGAGAGGATCGATGCGCAACTATAGTGCCCACGTCGCTGGCTCCTCCCATAACTAGATTGTTCTTGAACAGTAATTGCAACATGATTCACAGGAAAGTGTTTCAACTGAGTACGATTTCCCTCCCCCCGCTCAGTAATCATTATTTATTTAACTTATTACTTATTCAACGTACACTACAAAGTGTTCTGAAAAGAAACCTTACCATCGAGCACCGTACTAGACTGAGCCGGGAGCGAGAAATGGCCTTTGCTGATAACTGTACACTAAGTAAAGAGCCCTGCAATGGCTAGAAGCACACGGGTCCAAGGGTAATCCCCTTTACTAACAGCCTGTGCTATTGGCAGGACCTCTGCGTATTGATGAGGCACAAAAAGAACTTGTTCTAGAGTATACATATGAACTATTAGGTTGGCAAATAAGTCCTGCGACAAAATGGAGACCTTTTTTAAGTCATTTCTAAATTTTTTCATATCGATCAATTTTCGAGGAAATTTTTGCCGAAGAAGTCAATAACCTTCTTTTATTCTTTGAGTCAATCACTGATGCCATATCTTCAGGAATGAGGGAGCTGTGACTCGAAGAAGTAATTGACTACCGTTTTTGGATCACATTAAGTTACGAATTTCTTTTCCACAACGGGATGCTCAAAAAGGCGGAGCACATTGTAGTTAAAAGGGGGGACACTCTGCGAGCACGACTGATGAGTAACCTGTAACCAAGCGGGATCGGTGAACTTTTGACGTGGGTCTGAAGCGAATTTTAGACGTAGGATGTCTCTCTGCAAAGACCTGATTTACGGCTTGGTCGTCCTTCTCTAACCCCGTTGGTGAAATAAAGGGGATCATAGGGGCAAGCGATAGCAGTGACCATATAGTCCGCTTTAAGCAACTCATAGTGGATGGATTCCTTCAACCTCCATTAAAATAAGGGATGATGCGTGCGTTACTCCGAAGGCTGGTATCTCCTGCAGTGAAGCGAGCAAACTGATTGTTGACCGTCGATCGGTTAGCAGTGCTAGCATTGAATAGATTGCTGATATTTCGAGCCGCTGCACTCACGTTTTTTCCTTGGCGTGCTTAGGAGAAGGTGATTTTACAAATCGGGTGTTGTCCATTTATTGACCGTAATGCTGCGAAAGCCCACAGGCGTGCCCTTATTTACTCATGTTGTTGATTGCCTGAGGAATGTCCTACAAGTCCATCACCCTTGCTACCGTGTTCACACTGTTGATACAAATTTTCAACGCTTCAAATTTTTTGTCGCAGGACTTATTTGCCAACCTAATAAAAATTAAACATGGGCGGCTACAGCCAGGTGGGTAGTGCCGGTAAACAAAGGAACGTAGATGTCATTGGAGGCGGTTGGCAAGAAGGTCGGCTGGAAAGTGGCGCAATGTGAAAACATAACCCTTTCTCTTTATGGATTCTTCATCAACGTTCTTCAGACTAGTTCCAATTACCTAAGGAAAAACATCCCCAAGGGAAACTAGTGCTTAGAGGAGCATTGCTGTCATTCTCAAGCCATTTTCTGAAGTAATTTTTAACCTTCAAAAAAACTTTTATTGAAAGAAATTTTCCTTGAAAAATAACTGATTGGGCAGAGGTGGTGTAGTGGCAGGTAGTGCACTTCACACACCCGTGTTCACGGTTTCGAATCCCGGGTTGATATCTGCCTAGGCCAAGCAAGCCTTGCATCCCTCCGAGATCTGTCAAGTGGTACCAGACTCGTCTGGGAGGATAGAAGCACTGATTTGTACATCGGCTGGCCACCGCATGTCATTGTATAGGCCACATACGCTTCAACGCTCCACTACGATTTCGACTAAAGCTGAATACGTGGGCGCACCATCTGACGAGATTGATTAGCGCCCCAAGACTTTATCCTTTATCCTTGTTTGAATGATTAGCACAAAGTACAAATTAAACATAATTAAACACAGACGGAACCTCATGAGATAAATACTGGGTAACCACAACGACACGAAACAGCAGCTCATGGAAAGTGAGGGTATTAAACACGGGTACAATATGCCTAACAGCTGATCTAAGCATCTAATTCTTCAACGATGGACGGTGATGATGACTCTAAGGCGAGAATGTAACATATTTTTCTTTTGATCATGAAGGATTCTTTGAAAATCAGTTTAAGTGCGTTCAAAAGCATTTTCGAATCAGCATTCAGCCAGGAACAGGTAATTACATTAGATTTTCGTTACGTTCTATGGGATCACAATGTAATGATGTTTTCAGGGCATGGCCTGGAATTGTGCCAGTCCAGAAGCAAAGTTGGACATGTCGGGCTCCTGACTCAGACGTTCTTGGAGAAGCTGAAAGGACAGAAGCATGTTGAAGTTCATGCAGTGTCGAAACCAATCTAGAAGGAAGTTGTCGCGCTCAATTGAGCTATCGAACAATGACGTTCTCACTGGGTATTCTGTACTCTAATATGAAACCTATGGAAGGTAACTGCCTGAAGAGCGCTGAAGTTCTTCAGAATACCATCGCATGAATTCGTCCCACTGTTCACTTCAATGCAGCGCAATCTATGAATATTAGAGCTGACCCTGACTTTTCCCCTCTAGCCATTCCATTTAAAGAATTTAAAAAGGCATTATCTGAAAATTGATAAAAAAATCTTCACCATCCAAACCTGCAAACTGACTAAAAAGAACCAGAATGAGTCTCCAAACTATGAGCGCACATAGCAGCACCGCTGCCTGGTTTCTAGTGGTGGCAATTCTGGCCGAAATAAGCCCGAGTTTGGGCAGTGCATACCTTCAAAAGAAACGTACACCTAACAAGTTGAGATAATATGGAGCAGTACTCAATACCATTGAGTTTTGGCGGTGGCTAGCAATGGAGCTAAGGCCATAATTACTCTACCGATCATTTGGCTCGTGAATAGACCGTAGTTTGAACATGTTCCTGCCCTAAAATGTGACTAATTGTTCGATAGCCGCTTCTTTTATATTTGCCTACCGTTTATGTTTGACTGATTGTAACCAAGGAAAGAGATTATGAGCACGAAGTGGTCGAGAAATGAACAAAAAACATCCAGGCAGGTACATGGAAACATCAGGACATCAGCAATGAATGTGGCGAGTGTAGTATTGAACTGAAGAATTTATTAAATCGAATAGTCTAATCATAAATCATCATCGAATCTACAACAGCACCATAACACAGCAAATTAACATCTACTATTCTTATACGAAAAGTCTTGTCTCTCCACTGAAGGAAGTAAGGGCTTTGAGTCACTTCTCCGTTACTTTGAAGTACTTTTGACTGCTAAAAGTGGCAACATTTGGACAACTTTTACGACGAGAATCAGCAAAGATCATTTGCTTAATAGGTTATTGACCTTGACTACTTCGCTGAATTCGGTCCTTGCCTTTCAATTGGTAAGTGAGCTCATGGAGGAGTAAGCAGTAACATGAAAAAGCAAGCAGTGGTCAAAGAACGCATATTTCAAAACCTAATTCATGCCACTATTCTGAGGGATAAGAGCGCTTTTTGGAAGATGAGGTTCAAGAGTAGTGGTAGGAAGTCGAGATAGAATGGTAAGGAGTGCAATTAATTTACAAACAAAGTATTCATAGTAGACAACCAGAGCCCCAAAAAAGTGAACGAACGCAAGCAGTGCGATTCTCCGAATCTTTTATCTGTCAATTTACCAGATGGGTAGCTTACACCAATGGGTAAGAAGACGTCCTACTCCAAACAAAACTGCCCAAACCAGCCTAGTTTCTTCGGTATTGCACTGGCAACGAACTCTAATTTGGATGCACCGAGTGGTTCCCGAACGCCGCTGTCACCGCCGGACAGTTTCAGGGATTGGCCAACGTGATCAGGATTAATATTCCATCTATTATCGTTTACAGAAAAGAAACGTCTTTCAAGGAGAAGAGATGTTCTGAGAGGCCGATGCAAACGGTCTATTTAGTGAACGTAAAGCGAGATAGGCACGAGGGCACAAATGTTATAAATAGCATGATTACAAAAGAAAGAGAATTAATAGTTCATTGCCTAACATGGAATTTTGAGTCGATTCAGCATGAAATTTTTTAATCATTGCTCTCGATAGGTGTATGCATACGCGAGGAATCACAGGCGGCATAAAGCACAGGCGGCATAAAGCATCACCAGGAATGGTGTAAGAATCTTTTGCTAATGGTTCTAAATCTCGACAATGGTTTTTTTGCTGGACACTATGCCACACCATCAAACCTTTCACACAATTCACAAGATCTCATAAACTTATACAGAAAATGTGTTAATATGGATACAGCAAGTGAGATTAGAATCCTTAGGCTCTCATTCATTTGATAACTCCAATATATTTTTGTAAAAGTGGGCTGAATCTATCAGCGAGTGAAAAACATTTCCCCTGCAGGATTGGGCAACGAAGTTAAACATCGATTTTACTTTCCCATTGTTCTAGCAGTCAATGTGAGTACAGTGCCACGAAAACAATGGAAATGCAGTTGGCTATTCGGAAAGTAAAAGTTTTATCAGCTGCTATCGCCTATTATATTCACCACTGAGGGAATGGGAACGTCTATATANTGTAGGCAGTAGCGCACTCCAAGCCGTGCAACTGAATTTTTCTCTAAATCCCATACAATTATGATAGAGTGAATAAAGGACAGCGTTTTTCTTTGAAATTATTTGTTATAGAACTACGATTGCGATGTTGAAGAAAATGCGATGGAATGGGCCAAGAGCTGTACATTCGGATTCAACACTGCTGCAATGCTGAAGCGGTGGGGGAACAACATGCAAATGCTATCACCCAAGACTAATAACAAGACAGAGGCTGCAATAGCGGTTGGGATATACCAGCCAACTGAATTTTCTGAAAACGCTTGAAAATTTCTTTTTAGAGCGTCGACGCCTGGTTCGGTCAATTACAGAAAAATGGTGTACCTGAAAAGAACGTTTTTACCATGAACAACTACATGTCTTTAAGTAAATACAGCCAGGTGGGAACAACAATTCCAACCGCGAAAAAAAAATGTCAGTGGTTTTGCGCTACAGTTGGCATGGCAATCGAGCGACAGGATTGGTTGTGTAGTTGTACCTTGTTGGAACTCTTGGACTGTCGTAGTGTGTGAATACAATCCGGGGTAAGAACACTCAAATATTACGTACTAGAAACCATATCTCGGTGCAACTTGGCTTAAAAATCCTTTTTTACAGAGGAGACCTGCCTGGAGAAGTGATCTATGACGAAGGAGATCCCTGTACAGAGGACGCCGACTGCCAGTGCCCCGGTTGCGTTTGTAGCAGAGATGAGGCACTTTGTATTGCTCCATAAAATCAGTGGCAATAAATTTTCCATAATAGAGCTAAAGCGCACTAAGACGTGTGTGTCAACAAAAAACATGTGAACGGAGCTATAAATTTTCAACCTCATCTCCTTTCACCTTAGCACCCCCGGACCCTCCTCAATAATGAATAGCCCGTACCCTTCCCAAAAACTGATTTTAGAACGTTTCTGGGATGGATGCCCATTACTGTCGAAGGTGCTACATTTGAAAGTAGGCACGACCTTCCGAAGCTAATTTAGAACACCGTCCTATCAAGACTTAAACCTTTCTTACTCACACAATCTCCGTTTATCCTCAAGGCTTCAGTGAAGTCGACTTCTCAGTTCACTTAGTAAGTGCCGACCTCCCAGACGGTTCCGTCCACAGCGTGTGAGCCTTATTCTTCTTTCTTAACCAACCTGATAGGCTGCGCACGCTAAGGCATGCCTCAAACAAAATATTCCATACCCTCTGTTTTGCTGTTGGACCATTATTTTATTTTTTATCAAAATTTTTTTGCAACTTGATGTTCTAGTTGACTTCTTTAATTTCACCTTTCATTTTCCTATTGCGTCACCTGTCTTCTCGTAAATCATTGATGTACCGGTAGCGAACGCCAGTAACATCTCCATTCGTCCCTTTCTCGAGCCAGAGTGGCCGTGGGACAGAGGGCATAGCGCTTCTTTCAAGCAGAGCTTTTGTGAAGTAGCTTAACCATACGCTGGCAACTGCCCTATTGTTCGTTGGAAGTCCTGAGAAATACAATCAGTAACCGTCCTGGTCAAGTCGCCATCGCGGTAGCACATACATGACGTGCGTGACCCACCTGCTTACTGATATCTTGTGTAGACAGTAGCATCCCTGATCTTTGTACGATGACGGAGTTCAGAACCACTGCACTTGCTTGTATAGGGAATTTCTTGCAACGTTTTTTCCAGAGCGCATTGAGAAACCCTGATAGCATGTTCATCCTCATTACGTAGAGTCCTGCGCCAGTAGCGAACTTCGAAACAGGAAGCTCAGCAGCGTCGAAAAGGCGAGTGTGGAACTGAATTTCCTTTGTGTTCGCTACTCCCTCGATATTCTTGTTCACCTCACAGCGCCATTGCTCGTGCTTCAGTGCTAGGTTCTTCATCATATAAATGTCTCGGCTAGGTACAGGCTAGATGTAGTTAAAGCATTCACATTCAGAGATGTTCCTTAAAACCAGTGTGAAAAGAGCTTCAGTTATCGATCCGTTCCTCATGAAAGTTGTCTTCTTTAGCCTCAGTAGTTAAAGCTTTTCACGAATGATGATCGCTCACTGTCACATCACTCATGACGAGACAGATCCCGCTGGTTGCTCATGGCTTCAATTACCGCTCATGTCTCGACGGTATCAAAGGCTTTCTTCGAATTGATTATTGTCAGGCACAACGGCATCCAGTACCCTAGATACTTCAATGAGCCTTGTGACAGCGTGGGTATGATCGGTTGCACTGACCTCTCTACGAAGTCCTTCTTGCTCGTATGAGCGCCCCTCATTTATTACCTTGCTTCCCTTGCAAACCTTTGAGGACGTTCGCTTATCGACAACAAAAGCAGGATGAAAATGCAGCTTTGGAGAGGACGATGAAATGTAAAAGGGGTGGTTCAGACACGTCATTTGTCATTTTGATGACTGTTGGAACAGGGCGGTTATTGAACGGATCTTTCGAGAGGTCGCATGGGTAAACGGAAGACGTCAACAAGAACATAGCTCAAAACCACATTATTTTCAACCAAAAAAATGGGCTTTTCAGAGAGGAAATTTTAGCGCATTTGAATTTGTGCTTTTAAGTTATTGTCCCGATTACTTTACACATTTACCAGTTACCTCAATTAGGAAGAAGATTAAGCTGTTCGGCGATAGCATCATATCACATGCATGTGATGTGCATGTGATGCATATGATATGTTGAAAACGTTCTACTTTATGGGCTACGATTAAACACTAAGTTTTTGTTGCTTGCATTGCCAATAGAGGCAGTTGTAAAGGGTGAAAAGAAAATGATCTTCAGGCAACTTTTCCCGTCTCGACAAGCACACACATAATGCGATGTTGAGTGACTTTCTACCATAGACTTTTATATTTGAGCAGGGCACACATCGTTCTCGCTCGCATTTCTTCTTCACGTTTACACTGAATAATTGCGAACATATCAGGATAACGGCAAGCACTATTAGAAAATCATAACTTCACTTATATGCGATTTGAACCAGCACATGATATTAAATATCTTTGCTTAAAAATAGCTTGTAGACTATCAACTTGTCCTAATGAACAAAACATTCATTTGGCTGGATCCACGTTAGATAAGCGGACGTGATTACGGGATGGATGCGTTTGCATGGGTCGCCCACTTTGGTCAAGAAAGAAGAATAAGACTCACACGATGTGCATGGAGCAATCTGAGGAGTCGCCACCTGCTAAGTGAACTGAGAAGTCGACTTTAATAAAGCACCCGTTTTTGAAAGGGAAATGGGCTATTCTTTATTAAGGAGCGTCCGGGGGTGCTAAGGTGAACGGAGATGAGGTTGAAAAATTTATAGCTCTGTTCACATGTTTTTTGTTGACACACACGTCTTAGTGTGCTTTAGCTCTATTATGGAAAATTTATTGCCACTGATTTTATGGAGCAATACAAAGTGCCTCATCTCTGCTACAAACGCAACCGGGGCACTGGCAGTCGGCGTCCTCTGTACAGGGATCTCCTTCGTCATAGATCACTTCTCCAGGCAGGTCTCCTCTGTAAAAAAGGATTTTTAAGCCAAGTTGCACCGAGATATGGTTTCTAGTACGTAATATTTGAGTGTTCTTACCCCGGATTGTATTCACACACTACGACAGTCCAAGAGTTCCAACAAGGTACAACTACACAACCAATCCTGTCGCTCGATTGCCATGCCAACTGTAGCGCAAAACCACTGACATTTTTTTTTCGCGGTTGGAATTGTTGTTCCCACCTGGCTGTATTTACTTAAAGACATGTAGTTGTTCATGGTAAAAACGTTCTTTTCAGGTACACCATTTTTCTGTAATTGACCGAACCAGGCGTCGACGCTCTAAAAAGAAATTTTCAAGCGTTTTCAGAAAATTCAGTTGGCTGGTATATCCCAACCGCTATTGCAGCCTCTGTCTTGTTATTAGTCTTGGGTGATAGCATTTGCATGTTGTTCCCCCACCGCTTCAGCATTGCAGCAGTGTTGAATCCGAATGTACAGCTCTTGGCCCATTCCATCGCATTTTCTTCAACATCGCAATCGTAGTTCTATAACAAATAATTTCAAAGAAAAACGCTGTCCTTTATTCACTCTATCATAATTGTATGGGATTTAGAGAAAAATTCAGTTGCACGGCTTGGAGTGCGCTACTGCCTACAGAATGGAGTAATATTAGAGCATACCACTTTCATCATTCTAGCTGCTTTTGGAGCAAATTGTCCATCTTTACCCTTGGCTTGCCCTTTAGCAATGAGCGATCTAGACAGTCTTTAATTATCATACTATCCTCATAACCTATTTGCTCCCTGAAGCTTACCGATACTCATTGTGTTTGTCGACGAATGTTTTCCTAACTTCATCAGTCATTCCATTATTGAGTCCAGGACACGACCCCGCTGAAAAGTGGTTTCGTGTAATCAAAACTTTAATGGTGAGTCATTCGTAAAAGTAACAATTCAACAATTTACCGTTAGCTTTTGGGACGGTTGTTGTTGTAGTTGGCTTCGGTGTTGTAGTCGAAGTGGTAGTAGGTGGAAGGGGAGTGTATTCTGGCGGGATGCAAAGGGCCTCTTCTTGGCTACAAACGCAACCAGCGCACATGCAGTCGGCGTCAGTTGTGCATGGATCTCCCATCTCGTAGACCACCCACCAACCATTATCACCTCTGTAATTCGATTTTTGGAAGAAAGCTGAGATGAAAGGAGATAGCTACTGAAACTTCACGGCTCACGAAGGGTAATAGTTGCATCCTGCCATTGTCCATGGATATGGCTTGTTTTTTGTACAATAATTAATCGCGCAACCTATTTTGTAGGTCCATTGCCAGACCACCTGCAATGAGAGACTGTTAGTACGAACTCATTCCGCAGCAGTGGATTCTTCTATTACCTGCATGTAGTGACCAGTTTTGTG